GGTTAACATACACCTAACCTGGGTGAATTATTTTCAGAGGATTAGCGCATAATAAAGTCAGCCCTCTGTACCTGTAGATCCTGCATCCATGGATTCAACCAATTGAGGATTAAAAATATTTGGGGGAAAGAAAATTCCACAAAGTTCCAAAAAGTAAAACTTAAATTTGCCATGTAGCAAGTACTACATTGGTACTACATTGGTTCACATGAATGAAATGATATGTAAGTTACTGTACTAGGTATTATTTATAACCTAGAAATGATTTAAAGTATTCAGGGAATGTGTGTAGGTTATATGCAAATATATGCCAGTTTATATCAGGGACTCTAGTATCTGCAGATTTTTGTATCCAAGGGGGCTCTGGGAACCAATCACTAATCCTCGAGGGACAACTATACTCTTCAAATTAAATCCATATTGTAAATATGTCCCTTCATCTCTATTTAGATTATCAAAAACAGGCTACTGAGTAACAATTATCACGGTAGCATACATATGTATATACTTCCTGTTAACAGAGAATTCTCAATCACTAATGCCCCACTCCATCATCTTTTGTGGCATACCACAAAGGGGGTGACAGATTTCAGCCCATCCCCTTTACATTTCCTTGCTTGACTTCCCCACCAACACCTCATCCCACCTGACTGACCTACAAGCATCAAAGAAAAGTCAGGCTAAGGCCAAGTGTGGTGGCTTACGCCTGTAATCCTAGCACTCTGGGAGGCCAAGGCAGGTGGAGCTTACAAATTTGAGATCATCCTGCGCCAGTGCGAGACCTCATCTCTAAAAAATAGCCAGGCATTGTAGTGGGCGCTTGTAGTCCCAGCTACATGGGAGGTGGAGGCAAGAGGATCACTTAAGCCCAGGAGTTTGAGGTTGCTGTGAGCTGTGCTGTGACACCACAGCACTCTATTGAGGTCGACAAAATGATACTCTATCTCAAAAAAAGAAAAGTCAGGCCAAATAAGGGGTTCCAGACTTTGACCTAGAACTAACACTAGTGGAAGAGTGTGTTTCTGATCCCTCTTGATGCAAGGCACAGCCAAGCACTAGTAACTGAACCAGTGGGCAATGAACCAACTGCTGTATCTCTGGCTCAGTCTATGGGTCCTCATCTAATTCAAACCCTGGTTTATACTTGATTCAAGGACCTTGTTGCCATCAAATTCAATCAGAAAAAAAAAAAAAAAAAAACAGGCTCAGTGTCTGTAGCTCAGTGTTTAGGGTGCCAGCCACATATACCAGGATTGGCAGGTTCAAACCTGGCCTGGGCTTGCTAAACAACTACAACTACAAAAAAAAAAAAAGCTGAGTGTTGTGATGGGCTCCCGTAGTCCCAGCTACTTGGGAGGCTGAGGCAAGAGAATCACTTAAGCCCAAGAGTTTGAGGTTGCTATGAGCTATGATGTCATAGCACTCTACAGAGGGCGACATAGTGAGACTATGTTTAAAAAAAATAATAATAATAAATAAAATTTTAAAAAGGCATCTTCCCCAATAAAAGCCAAGGACAGTGAATTATTTTTACTGTGTCCTCAAGAAGAAGCCTGGTCAAGTTCAATGATACCATGGGAAGTCTAGCAGTGGCACCACAGGATAGAGACTAGGGTGAGACTAGTGAACCATCAGACATGAGACTGGGCTAGACTCTGCATTCTGCCCAACCCTTCACTTTATAGCAAAATGACAGAGTCTCTTTCCACCTTGTTACCCTATGGGATCACAGTATAGATTAGTCTTTCTGTATTTGGACTAGTTCCTACTTATTCTACTTTTTTTTTTTTTTATTGATACAAAGTCTCACTGTATTGTCCTTGGTAGAGTGCCATGGCGTCACAACTCACAGTAACCTCAAACTCTTGGGCTTAAGTGATTCTCTTGCCTCAGCTTTCTGAGTAGCTGGGACTACAGGCACCTGCCACAACACCCGGCTATTTTTTGGTTGCAGTTGTCATTGTTGTTCAGCCTGCCAGGGTCGAACCCGCCAGCCTTGGTGCATGTGGCCGGCACCCTACCCACTGAGCTACAGGTGCCACCTAGTCTAGTACTATTTAACTTACAATTCCCTATATCATTTGCCCCTTAATTACACATAATCAAAAATATACTTTTTTTTGAGACAGAGTCTCACTTTGTCGCCCTCAGCAGAGTGCCATGGCGCCATAGCTCACAGCAATCTCAAACTCTTGGGCTCAAATAATCCTCTTGCCTCAGCTCCCCAAGTAGCTGGGACTTCAGGTGCCCACCACAAGACCTGGCTAATTCTGGAGACAGGGTCTGGCTCTGGCTCTGGCTGATCTTGAACTCGTGAGCTCTAGTAATCCACCTGCCTTCACCTCCTAGACTGCTAGGATTACAGGCATGAGCCACCGTGACTGGCTCAAAAGTATACTTAACAACTGGTAAAGTTCAGTGGTCAAACTATGATTTAACTATTAAGCACATGGCTGGGTGTGGTGGCTCACACCTGTAATCCTAGCACTCTGGGAGGGGAAGTCAGGTGGACTGCCTTGAGCCAGAGTAAGACCCCCATCTCTAAAAATAGTCCCAGCTACTCAAGAGGCTGAGGCAAGAAGATCACTTAAGCACAAGAGTTGGAGGTTGCTGAGAGCTATGATGCCACGGCGTTCTACCAAGGGTAACAAAGTGAGACTCTGTCTCAGAAAAATAAATAAAATAAAAATAAGAAAAAGAACAAACTATCAAGCACATAAACTTAAGATCTTTCTCTTCTTCTTGGTTAGGAGTCAAGTACTACCATTTACTATACCTAAATGAATGAAATACACAGGAAATGGCCCAGAAAACTTTTCATGTAATGACAAGAATTAAAGGATCTGAAAAGGACCGAATCACCTCATTCTATAGAAAGGAAAACTAAAGACAGCTCAACAAGCTCAGAGAGTTGCCCAAGGTAACACTCAGGCTGACAGCAGAGTCTGGAGCAAGACCTAAGTTTTTTTTTTGAGACGGAGCCTCAAGCTCTCCCCCTGGGTAGAGTGCCATGGCATCATGCTCACAGCAACCTCCAACTCCTGGGCTCAAGCGAGTCTCCTGCCTCAGCCTCCCAAGTAGCTGGGACCACAGGCGCCCGCCACAATGCCTGGCCATTTTTTTTTCGGTTGCAGCCATCATTGTTGTTTGGCGGGCCCGGGCTGGGGATTCGAACCCGCCATCTTAGGTGTATGTGGCTGGCGCCTTAGCCACTTGAGCCACAGGCGCCGAGCCAAGACCTAAGTCTTAATTACCAAATTACTAGGCAAACCAGGTAGAGGACCAAAACCGTACTAAGTAAAATAGTCTTGGGGACAGACCAGTAATCTGTAGATTACCTGCTTACCTGTTTGGATGCCTGTTTCTTGCTCTAACTGATGGTAGAGTTTGTTTGAATAGTCTGCCATCTTCTGCTCAATGGTCAAGTGCCTGGCGGTGCTCAGGATGCCAGCACAGAACCTTGTAGAGCCAGCAGCCAGCCTGCAAGATGGATGCGAAAGCTATTAGGTAGATTCACATATCTGTGAATATAAGTTTAAGTTTTCTCATTACAGTATAATGTTATTTATAATATGAAAAGATGGAAACAACCTAAATGGTCACTGACATGGGATTGATTTAAAATCTGGGAGTTAGGCTCGGCACCCGTAGCTCAGTGGTTAGGGCGCCGACCATAAGCACCAGGCCTGGTGGGTTCGAACATGGCCAGGGGCTGCTAAACAACAATGATAATAGTAACAAAAAAACAGCCGGGCATTGTGGCGGACGCCTATAGTCCCAGCTACGAGGAAGCTGGGGCAAGAGAATCGCTTGATCGATTATTTTTTTTTTAATTTTTTATAAAAAAAATAAAATAAAATAAAATCTAGGAGTTCATCTATTCAATGTAATGCACCTATATAAAGAATCAGAGGTTGGGTGCAGTGGCTCACACCTATAATCCCAGTACTCGGGAAGCCGAGAAGGGTGGATTGCCTGAGCTCACGAGTACGAGACCAGCCTGAGCCAAAGCAAGATCTCGTCTGTAAAAATAGCCCAGCATTGCTGCAGGCACCAGCAGTCCTAGCTACTCAGCAGACTGAGGCAAGTAGATCGCTTAAGCCCAAGAGTTTGAACTATGCTGTGAGCTATGATGCCACTATGCTCTACAGAGGGCAACCAAGTGAAACTCTGTCTCCAAAAAAAAAAAAAAAGAATTAGAAGCTCTTTATGCACCAATATGGAACATTGTTATGAAAAAAAGTGAGCAACAGTGTTTAAGGCACGCTACTGTCTATATAAAAAAGGCACAGAGGCTCACACCTGTAATCCTAGCACTCTGGGAAGCTGAGACCGGCTAATCGCTGGAGCTCAGGAGTTCCAGATCAGGCTTAGCAAGAGCCAGACCCCATCTCTACTAAAATTAGAAAAATCCAGCGTGAAGTCATGGCAGGTGCCTATAGTCCCAGGTATTTTGGGAGGCTGAGGCAAGAGGGTCACTTGAATCCCAAGACTTTGAGATTGCTGTGGGCTACAATGATGCCACAGCATTCAGCCCAAGATGACATAGTGAGACTCTATCTCAAACAAAAAAAAAAAGGAGAAAAAAGGAATATCCATACACACATCTAATACCTACCAATACATATTTGCTTACATATGTACAGAACGTACCTGGAACTTGTCTCCCTCCAAAGAAGAAAACTTGTAGATATAGGTATGTGAGGCTTCCCCCTACATATGCCATGACATATTTTAAATTCTGAATCATATAAATATATTGCCTATTTTAAAATAAGTAAAATTTACAGGGCATGGTGGCTCACACCTGTAATCCTAGCACTCTGGGAGGCAAAACTAGGTGGACTGCCTGAGCTCACAGGTTCGAGACCAGTCTGAGCTAGAGTGAGACCTCATTTCTAAAAATAGCCAGGGGGGCAGCACCTGTGGCTCAGGGAGTAGGGTACAGGCCCCATATACTGAGGGTGGTAGGTTCAAACCCAGCCTCGGCCAAACTGCAACAACAACCAAAAATAGCCAGGCATTGTAGTGGGCACCTGTAGTCCCAGCTACTCGGGAGGCTGAGGCAAGAGAATCACCTAAGCCCAAGGAGTTGGAGGTTGCTGTGAGCTGTGACTTCACAGCACTCTACCGAGGGTTAATAAGTAAACTCTGTCTCAAAAAAATAAAAATAAAAATAAAAATAGCCAGGGGTTGTGGTAGGTGGCTATAGTCCCAGCTACTTATGAGGCCGAGGAAAGAGAATTGCTTGGGCCCAAGAGTTTGAGGTTGCTGTGAGCTATGATGCCACAGTACTCTAACTGAGGGTGACAAAGTGAGACTCTGTCTCCCCCAAAAAAGTAAAATTTAAATTGAAAAAATTTCTCCAATTTGTGGCAGGTAAAAAAGCATAATAATGCTGGGCCCAAAGACTCAGTTTTGCAAGGAACCCATAATCAAGAAAGCAGGTAGGAGTGGAAGCAGGGCACTGCCCTCAAATTATTTAGCACTCAGTAAACCACCACCTGTGTCAGGTTTTTGTCACTTGCGTTTACTGTTTTACTCTAATAATTCTATTTCTCACATCAGATTGTCAGTTTTCTAAGATAGATTTTTTGGAATATTTTTGTTAATTAATGTATAGCCACTGTATAGAGCTTCCACCCTGGGTGGGAGTTCCATCGACTCTGGCTGGTGGACAGTGCTGATAGCTGTGGTGACATACATCTGCTGGCATACTGCTCCCTAAGAGCTCTGACAGTGGCTCTTACCCTTGGGTGGACATTAGAGTCCCTACGGTATTTTTCTTTTTTTTGTAGAGACAGAGTCTTACTTTATCGCCCTCGGTAGAGTGCCGTGGTGTCATATAGCTCACAGCAACCAACTCCTGGGCTTAGGTGATTCCCTGCCTCAGCCTCCTGAGCAGCTTGGACTATAGGCGCCTGCCACAACACCCGGCTATTTTTTTGTTGCAGTTTGGCCGGGGCTGGGTTGGAACCTGCCACCCTTGGTATATGGGGCCGGAGCCCTACTCACTGAGCCACAGGCGCTGCCTGAAATTCTAGTTTGTTTTGGGAAGAGGACCAGGTATTGGTATTTGTTAGAAGCTCTCTAGGTGGTTCTAATGTGCAGCCAGATTTGAGAACCATTTATCTATGAGGACAATACTAGAGATGGAGAAGAGAAACAATTATTTGATGAAGGGAAGTGTAAAACCATTTCATAAGCCATTGTTGAGGCATACATTAAAAAAAATTTTTTTTTTCTTAGAGATGAGATCTCACCCTGTAATCTAGGCTAGAGTGCAGTGCTGTAATCATAGCTCACTGAAACACCTAAGCAAGCCTCCTGCCTTAGCCTCCTGAGTAGCTGAAATTACAGGTACATGCCATCATGCTCAACTAAGGCAAAACTATTTTTTTTTTTTTTTTTTTGAGACAGAGCCTCCAGCTGTCCCCCTAGGTAGAGTGACATGGCATCACAGCTCACAGCAACTTCCAGCTCCTTGGGCTTAGGTGATTCTCCTGTCTCAGCCTCCCGAGTAGCTCGGACCACAGGCGCCCGCCACAATGCCTATTTTTTGGTTGCAGCCGTCATTGTTGTTTTGGCGGGCCAGGCTGGATTAGAACCCGCCACCTTAGGTGTATGTGGTTGGCGCCTTAGCTACTTCAGCCATAGGCGCCGAGCCGCAAAACTATTTTTTTAAATTTTATTTATTTATTTTTGAGACAAGGTCTCAAGCTGTTATCCTGGGTAGAATCATGGCATCATAGCTCACAGCAACCTGCAACTCTTGGGCTCGAGTGATCCTCTTGCCTCAGTTTTTCTATTTTAAATAGAGACTGGGGGGGGCTCACTTTTGCTCAGGCTGGTCTCAAACTTGTAAACTCAGGCAATCACCTTTCCTGACATGTTATAATCAAGAAGAGGGAGTACCGCACATTAAGATCATTAAAATGTCTTGATTAAATAAGAAACTGAAGGCCTGGCACGGAGAAGACCATCAAAAAGGCAGTAACATTTGTTGGACTGATAGGATTTACCTGCAATAGGAAAGCAACGCTCTGACAACAAATGTAACAACTTAACTCATAACTTTTATCTCCAGCTCCATTTTCCACACCACTACAATATCCACTGCAGGGTTATGCCTACTGGGTCTGAAAGTACAAAGAAATAAGCCTCTCCCTACCAGAACCTGAAGCTAAAGTTATCTTCAAAAGGACATTTTTTTTTTGAAACAGAGCCTCAAGCTGTCCCCCTGGATAGAGTGCCGTGGCATAGCTCACAGCAACCTCCAACTCCTGGGCTCAAGCGAGTCTCCTGCCTCCGCCTCCCACGTTGCTGGGACCACAGGCGCCTGCCACAACGCCCGGCTATTTTTTTTTTTTTCCAGTTGCAGTCATCATTGTTGTTTGGTGGGTCCAGGCTGGATTCGAACCCCCCACCTTAGGTGTATGTGGCTGGCGCCTTCGCCACTTGAGCCACAGGCACCAAGCCCAAAAGGACATTTTTAAGGATCCCTAGATAGGACCATGGAATAGAAAAAGGCAACTAGGGTAAAAGTGAAAAATCTGAGTAAGATACGAACTTTAGTTAACACTATCAATACTGGTTTACTAACTGAAACATTCATAGTAATATATTAATAATAGTGGGTGTGTGGTATATGGAAACTCTACACTATCTTCATAGTTAGCTGTATATCTAAAATGGTTCTAAGGTGGTGTCTATAGCTCAGTGGTTAAAGTGCCAGCCATATACACCCAGGCTGGCAGGTTCAAACCTGGCCATGGCCAGCTAAACAATAATGATAACTGCAACAATAAAATAGCCAGGCTTTGTGGCGGGCGCATATAGTCCCAGCTACTTTGGAGGCTGAGGCAAGAGAATCTCTTAAGCCTAAGAGTTTGAGGTTGCTGTGAGTTATGGTGCTACAGCACTCTACTGAGGGCGACACAATGAGACTCTGTCTCAAAAAATAAATAAAAAAAAAAGATACTTCTAAAATAATGAAAATACAGTGCAGAAAATACAATGAGATGGAATTAGAAAACCTTATATACAATTAGTGCTGTTACGCACACCTGTAATCCCAGCCCTTTAGGAGGCTAAAGCAGGAGGATCACTTGAGGATTGCTTGAGGCTAGTAGTTAGAGACTAGTCTGGGTAACAGCAAAACAGTCTCCACCAAAAAAAAAAAATTCTTTTAATGCAGCACAACCAGAAAAAAAAAATTCTTTTAATGCAGCACAACCATAGGCCAAGTCCAGTTTGATCCTTACCTGCCCTGCTCCAGAAGGACAACATCCTTCCACCCCATTTTGGACAGGTGATAGGCCACAGATGCTCCCATGACTCCACCCCCACAGATGACCACCTGTGTCTGGGTGGGCAGGGTGATAGAATGTGCCTCGGCAGCAGATGCGCTGCTTCTTGCTGAGGACCAATTCTGCCATCTGGGGTTGGTTCTTTGTCTTTGGACAATGGATAGCAACCGGTAGAACATCATGTCTGTCACCAACTGGGAGATCTCAAGAATTCAAACTAGACAGAGGAAACCAAACACATTTCATTGCACTTAATATAAATTAACAAGAAAAGAAGTTAGCAAAGAACAGTAATCATTCATTCAGCAAATATCTGAGGGCCTACAGAGCTTCAGATGCCCTGCTATGTGTATATAGCAGTGAATAAGAATATGACGTTACATTTGGCAATTAATGAAACTTATATTTGGCAATTAATACACAAATAAAATGAGTAAATAAAGCTAATGTGATAGAGTAACTATGGGCATATATAAAATAGTGTGGTCAGGAAAGGCCTCCAAAGAAGTGGTATTTGATGAGGCCTGATGGATGAGAAGCAACCAGCTGTGTGTGTTTCACACAGAGGGATGGGTACATGCAAAGCCCCTGAGATAAAATGGACCATGATGAGGCCAAGAACAAAAAAGAGACCAGTGTGTGCACAACATGGTGAATGAGGGGGAACAATCTAAATCTATGCTGGAGAGGCAAAAGAAACCAATTATATTGAGCCTTCAACTGTTACCACCAGCAGCTGGAATTTTATTCCAACTGGTAAAGGAGGGAAATGAAATGATCTGGAATGTTTTTCAAAGGACAGTCTGGCTTCATGGTGGAGAGAAGATGGTAGAAACAGGAAAAGCAGAGAGATGAGTCAGGAAATTACTGCAGTAGTGCAAGGGCATTATCATGGTGGCTTAGACAAGGATGGTGGCAGTGAGGGCGGTGCCTGTGGCTCAAGGAGTAGGGCACCGGCCCCATATACCAGGGGTGGCAGGTTCAAACCTGTCCCTGGCCAAAAACTGCAAAAAAAAAAAAAAAAAAAGAAAGAAAAGGATAGTGGCAGGAGTCACAAAAATGACTGGATTGTTTTGGGAACAGAAATGAAGAACTGGGTGGCGCCTGTGGTTCAAGGAGTAGGGCGCCAGCCCCATGTACTGGAGGTCTGGAGGTGGTGGGTCCAAACCCAGCCCCAGCCAAAAAAACAAACAAAAAAATCAAAACTGCAACAAGAAAAAAAAGAAAAAAATAAATGACGGAACTTACTTGCCAACAAACTCGATATGAAAGCTGGAAAAAGGGGGCCAAACACAGTGGTTCACTTCTATAATCCTAGCACTTTGGGAGGCCAAGGCAGGTGGATTACCTGACGTCATGGGTTCAAGACCAGCCAGAGCCAGAGCGAGACCTCAGCTCTGAAAATAGCTGGATGTTGTGGCAGGTGTAGCTGTAGTCCTAGCTACTCAGGAGGCCGAGGCAAGAGAATCACTTGAGCCCTAGAGTTTAAGGTTGCTGTGAGCTGACACCATGGCACTCTACAAAGGACAAAGCGTGAGACAAGAAAGAAAGGAAGAAAGGAAGAAAGTTGGAAAAGGAGAAAGGAGGAGGACAGTTAAGCTTCTGGGTTAAGCATGAAAGACTTGGAGGAGGGAGGGAGGAAGGAAGCAGAGAGGCAGGAAGGAGAATGAGTGAGGGGCTGTGTGTATAGTCATATGTTTTCAGATATGTTAAGTGTGAGATACTCACCAGACGATTAAGTGCAAACACTAAGCAGCAGCTGAACATACAAGCCTGAAAAGGGAGGAAAAGGTTCGGAGTCATTAGTACACACATGACATTAAGACCTCTAGTATTCGGAGGGAAACATGAACTCTGAGGGGCCCTGGCACTCATAGACTGGGAAGAGGAAGGAAGGACTACAGACTAGGACCAAACACTGCAGCAGACTCAGAGTGTCCAGATAAAGAGAGAATTGGCTGAAGAAGAGAAAGAGGGCTTGGTACAGCAGAAAGAAAAGCAGGCAGAGTTGTCTCAGAGATCAAGAGAGGAAACTGTTAGAAAGTGGTTACCTGGCTTGGCGCCTATAGCTCAACCGGCTAAGGCGCCAGCCACGTACACCTAAGGTGGCGGGTTCAAATCCCCAGCCTGGACCCGCCAAACAACAATGACGGCTGCAACCAAAAAATAGCCGGGCGTTGTGGC